GTGTGTGTGTGTGTGTGTGTGTGTGTGTGTGTGTGTGTGTGTGTTTTGCAGCTGACTTCTAGTTCCACTTCCGTTTGTGGTCACATTGACATTCTGTCCTCTCCTGCTGTTTGTCCCTATCTTGACTTGATCCCGGATTCTTTTTCTCAGGAAATCAGTCGGCCCAGTTCAGAAACCAGCTGGAGATATTCCACAATGAAGAAAAATACCCCAAATACCAGCGAAACAAGTATAACCACAACAGTATATATATATATAATAAAATAAACAGATAAGAAGGAGCCCCGTGCTCCCATGTGTAACCTTCATAGAATATTCCCTTCCGTGCACATTTCTATCATTTGGATTTATGTTGTTTTGAAACGCTGCATTCAATTCTAAATGTTCCACCGAGTGGAAAATACTCCCGAGCTGCATGGAGAGCATCCAAAGTTTAAGGATACAGCTCTGAATCATCCTGTACATGTAAGATGTATTCACGTTACGCGCATAAAGAAGATATGTGGAAAACAAGCTTTTCAGGAACATTCTTGGCCCCGAAACAAGTCGCTGGGTTTCCCTCAGTGTTCATGAACCTCACACAGCCGTCCTGTAACGATCTCTGAGGACTCATTTCATTTGGAGTGTGTCGTGTTCAGCTTACCTGTTGGTCTGCACGCGCTCAGTCTGGTTCCAGCGGGAGTCCCCACAGAAAGTGTCCTCACGTGGCCATCCTGTAAGAAAACAGAGAGAGATCGTGAGCGTGTGTTCGGGACTTTAATCAACGCAAACTGAAGCTTTGCAGCGAACTTTCATTCAAAACACATCTTAAATACCTCATATCTCCAGAGTTTGCCTGCTTTTCCTCTTCATAAAGCGATGCTATTAGTCACTCACTCAATCCATCTGTGCGTTTCACACATATTTAACCAACGCAAAGCATTTAGAAGAGTTGTTTTTCTTCCTGAAAAGTAACGTTTTTGGACGCACATGGTTGAAAATGAGGATATGAAATAACAGATATGTCAAGATGGATTTAGAACAAAGGTGTTTAAAATGATGTGCAAAGCATGTAGAATATTTTGCTTTTGATAAAACAGTACAGCCCAAAAATAAGGCCGTATATTGAGTTTAAATATTTTACGTAGCGTAATAATTATGGAGCTTCAATCAAGACTTGGAACGAGCGGATACATGAAATATTAGAAGTACTCGGATACTTTTAAAGTCTTAAAACTGAGAGGGAAGCTGCACGCCAAGAGGTTGAATGTGTGTTTGTGTTTTGTGAGTCTTTCTGTTTGCCTTCGTATTTGTGGATATTCTAGTGCTTCTATTGTGTGTGTGTGTGTGTGTGTGTGTGTGTGTGTG